TGGTCAGTCTTGGGGTCACTCCTGAGGTGGGTCCAATTAACATCTACGCCAACACGTTAACAGCTAATAAACGGTGGTGCTGGTATTTTTTTTTTTTTTTTGAGAGTCTCACTATGTCGCCCTGGGTAGAGTGCTATGGCGTCATAGCTCACAGCAGCCTCCAACCCTTGGGCTTAAGTAGTTCTCTTGCCTCAGCCTCCCAAGTAGCTGGGACTACTGGTCCCTGCCACAATGCCTGGCTATGTCTTGGTTGTAGTTGTCATTGTTGTTTGGCCCAGGCTGGATTCAAACTCACCAGCTCTGGTGTATGTGGCTGGCGTCCTAGCTGCTGAGCTACAGGCGCTGAGCCGGTGGTGCTGGTATTTACAATAGGTTATCTAGATCCAGAACTGATCTTCGTGCCTCACTTCGTGTGACATTCCGGCCAGGACTCCAGCAGTGACAGGCACAATGAGGATTCTCCCAGGGACTGGGATTAGCCCCTTGCCCATGCCAGGCCACATGTACCACGTGCCTTGTTCTCCAAGCCAGGTGAGGGCTCTTCATGTTGGTAACCCCTACCCTTGTCTCTAGCAGCTCTCACGTACCCTTTCTTCCCCTTCTCCCAACCAGCTCTGGAGCAAGGAGGCCAGAGTTATTTCTCTGCTCCAGTTGGAAGTCAGAGGTGGTCAGGGGTAAAGGGGCAAAGCCAGGAACCTGGGATTACCCCACAGCATGGCACATTCCCTCCTGTCCCAATCTCTGTACCTCAAACCACCTAAATCCTCTATGGCCTGTCAGACACCTGAGGGTCACAGGGTACAGCAGGCCTAGGCAGTCCCCATCCCAAAAAGCCACTCAGAGCCAGGCTGCCTCTGGCTCCTGCCTCGGTTCCTAGGAGGCATGTTTGCCCCTACACCCCTTGACCCTGGCTTGACTCCTGGCCTGTCCACCTAAACCACAGCAGCCCTCAGCTCTCAGCTGCACAGCACCTTTAAGGCAGACACTGAATTTTATTCACAGAACCTTACTCATTCTGGTATCCTTATTAACAGAGCTCTGCTAAACAACTGAATGGCCATGTGAAGGGACAGCTGAGTGAATGGATGGGTGGATGAATGAATGCTGCTGACCCAGATACATCCTGCCAGGGTGGGCTCCGTGCAGCCTGCAGTGTCAGGGGCAGAAGGCCTGGGGGCCTGAGCACCCTGGTTGCCTGGTTACAGGATGCACACTCACAGAGCCCCAGGGAGCCACAGAGCTCAAGAGCCCTCCTTCCCACTTCTCACAGGCTTTGATCAGTGCTTCAGAAACACTCTGACACTGCTCTGCTGGGGAGGAAGGCCCTGGCAGGTAGGAGAGTAGGCTGGGAGCTCTTCCAGCCCCTCCCCCTCACCTCTGCTGGCTGAGACAGGGATGGCTGCTTGGAGTGACTGCAGCCCCACATCAAGGGAAGTGAGGCTGAGGTCTGCACAAGGGAGCTGAATTCCTTGTGTGGGGCAGGTCTCAGACTGGGCCTGGACACATCCCACCTCCCAGACCCTCCCACTGGCCGTGCCCACCTGTCAGCCACCTGGCCTTCCTCTGGAACAGGTCTAATAGCTGAGCCCAAGTGGCTGCCCCTGTGACCGGTGCCTTCCTGGCACACTCTCCCCCTGGACAGGGCTTCAGCCCAGCTGGCCCCTTGGGGATATGCTAGGACTAAGGCCACAGGAATGGACAGAGGTGTTAGAAGCTGGGCCCCTGCTCCCTTAGCGTCCTTATCTCAGTCCCAGCCTTTCTTTGTTCTGTACTCCAAGTCAGTGGGCTGAATCTCTCTCTCAGAAAGAGCAAAGTAGCTGCTAGGGCCCAGTTCCTTCTAGGCTGGGGCCCAGGATGGGCTACAAATTCAAATCCAGATAAGACTCCAAACATGCCCACCAGCTCAGCCCTCCTCAAATTATCACCACCTGGCAGTGAGGCTGCTAGCCTCTGCCTGGACTGAACATGACCTGTCTGGGCCACAGGAGGGAGGAGGGGCATGAACTACCCCAGCAGGCCAGCCCTGCTCTGTCTAGTGCCCAGGCAGGGAAGCTGAGGGTCAGATCCTAGCTCCTCCCCTCCTCAGGATCCCCTACCCCACTTAGGCTGAGCCAGGAAACCTACAGCAATCTGAGCCCACCCCCATCCCATCAAGGCAATGGGGGAGGGAAGTGAGAGACAGGGCTTGGGCCACCTCTGTCACCAGGACTTTCCTTCCTATGGAGGGGGCAGCTCCCTTCACTGGAGATAGGTGGTTGGCAGAGAAATAGAGGCGGCTCTTGAATACCCTCACCAAGATCATTACTCCGACCCCTAGGGCCCCTGCTCTTGCCTTCTAAGGGGTGTCACTAGTTGAGAATATAAAGAAGGCTGGAAAAGGTGGGCACCCTTCAAGACCTCATCTCTACAGCCCCTCCAAGCACCCAGCTCAGGGCAGAGCACCAAGTAAGCACGGAACCACCTGTTAGCAACTTGGAGGGAAGTGGCCCGTCCCAAAGCAATGGGCCATTTTCCCCAAAGTTCTCATTTAGAAACCACGTAAATATCAGCTCTGTACCCCTCATGCCTCCCCCCCACAACCAACCACTCTCCTTTCAAACACTTCTTTAACATTAGAAATCACAGCCTCGAATAAAATAACTATCTGCACGCAGAAAGCCGTGGGAAGCAGGGGAGATGATGTACTTAAAAGAAAAGAGGCCAGAAGAGGGGAGGGAAGGCAAGAGAAAGGAGGGGACGCAAGGGGAAGAGAGAAGCTGCTTCTCGGCTCAGACACAGCCCAGCATTTCCAGCTGCTCCTGTTGCTGTGGTGGTGGCAACAGCGGAGACAACTTCAACAATAGCAGGGGTGCCGCCTGCCCATGGGCCACTGCCGCCACTGCTGGCCCAGCAGCTGGGATGCCAGCCAGCTCTGCTGGGGTGGGGGCTGCAGCAGGCAGAGCCCAGCCCAGGCACATGCCAGACAGCCCACTGGCGAGAAGCCTCAAGACTACAAACACACGATGCCCCGCACGCCCCACGCCAACATGCCATGCCTCCAGACCGAGTCCTCCCAGGACACCCATCCCTCAGCCAGCATGCCGCGGGTCAGGGTCGCTCACCCCGAGCTTCCTGCTCTTCATCTTCACGTAGCCTTGCTTGACGATGTCACTGAAATTGGTCGCCATGGCTTCTCCCCCGTCTCTGGGGTATCAGGCCTGGTGAAGCGAGGGGAGGGATGCCCAGGTGCCCGGTTTCCGGCACCTCTGATCACCTGTTCCAGACAGTCCTCCAGCTGGGCTGCCGTGTTGGCCGCGCTCTTCACCTCGCCCGCCTCAGCATTGTTCTAGCAGCTCCTTCGCCCGGCGCCTGCTAGAAATGAAAATGACAGGGAGATGAGAGACAGTGACATCTTTCTCTTCCCCTCACTGTCTCGCTCTTTTTTCCTTCCTCGTCCCACACTCCTCCCCCTCCCTCCTCCTCCCGCCCTTCTTCCTTCCCTTCCCTCCCCACCCCAGGACGGCAGAACCATTCAGGAAAACTGAGGTGGAGGCAGCAGAGGAAAATGGTCCAGCCCAGTCCCCTCCCTCACGGCTGGGGCTGGCAGTTAACCCCTTCCTGGGAAGAATGGCTGTGGCTCCGAGGTGGAAGTCGGGGCTGAGGACGGAGGTGGCTGGGAGCCCTGAGCTGGGGTCTAGGAGCTGCTGTCCCTGAGTCCTTTGGGCCTGTGGTCCTATCAACTGTTACAACTCTGGTGCTGATTTAGGGTAACTTGACAAAAGCAAAACCCTCTAGCAGGCATGTGAGATGGGGAAGGAGAGTCTAAGGAGGTGGCCCAGGGTCTGGTGTCTGAGTGAACCCCACACCCCACAAGGCCACAGGTTAAAAATAAATGGCCTTGTCAGCTTGGCTGCCCCTCAAATCCTTCTGCACCCCAATCCCACATCCTATACCTGATTCACTCTAAGAACCATCATATCAAGCCCTCTCGGGCCCTGCTCCCAGCCCCTGGAACTCTTTGGCAGCTTCTTTGGGCGCTGCTTCCTGGGTGGGAGGGCAGAGTCCAGTGGGGCGGGCCTCCAGATAAGCCTGAGGAATGTGCTAGGCTGGCTGGAGGTGGCCTCTGTGGAAGCAGATGCCTTGTCCTGCCCTGGAGCTGGGGAGACTGGCCAGTTTGTGAGCATGGGGCCTAGGCTCCAACTGGCCACTGTGGCCAGGCCGAGCAGTGCCTCCATGTCCTGAGTATGGGTAGAGTTAATTACAGGACACAGCCCAGACAGACGCAGGAGACAGTATGGGGCATCAAGGGAAAGTCACTTTGGAGCAGCAAATGGAACCAGCAGGACCACCCCCAAACAGGCAGATCAACAGGTTACAAAGACTCATAGTGGTGGGGCAGGTGATCTCAGCAGTGACCTAGTCAGTCTAACAGCTTCATTTTATAGATGGGAAAAGAATCTCAGAGAGGGCAAGCCACATGGCTAAGCTCACACAGCAAGCCCAAGGCAAACCAGGGATGAATGAGAAGTTCTGGGGTAGGTGACGGAGGCTGGGGTGCCTGCCACCAGCTAAGCCTTCACTGTCACCTAGCTTAAAAAGTGGGACCAAGTCAACAACATGGCCCTCCCACCAACTCTGTGTCTCCAGGATCATGGGGGGGTAGGTATAGCAGCATTTCTGTAGTCACCTGGGTATCTGTGCTGCCAGCACAGGGGCCCTGGGGCAGGCAGCAGCTTGGCACTAATTAATCTCCTAGAGGCCTGTCTGTTGAGTCCCTAACAAGGAACAGATGGGACTACCCCACTGGGCACCTGCAAACAAGCAGAGGGGCACAGAGGGTAAGGCTTCCCTATCCCACTTGCATCCTAAGGCCCGCTCAGCTTACTCCTTCCATCCCAGCTCCCTGAGTCTAAGCCCCTTCCAAGCCCAAATGGTCTGCCTTCCACCCATAAGACCTGTTTTAGGATCCCTTCACGGGAACTGATCCCTCACAGCCGTGCCACACTAGGACTCTGGCAGTCAAAGATGGGTTGGTTTTTCCCATCTCTGTCTCTCCTGCCTGTTTCTGGGGCTGCCTTGTCCACAGAGCAAGGATCTACTTTGTGGAGCTTCCCTCTAATGACTAGCAGGCTGTGGCCCACAGTGTAGAAGCCCCTTTGAGAACACAGCTATAAGAAGCCACTGGGCCCTGGGTTCATCCGAAGTAGCCCGGACACAGCACAACCATGAGTGTGAATCCAGTTGGCCATATAGTCCTAGGCAAGCCACTTAAATTCCCCATTCCTCAGTTTCCCCATTGGCAAAAATTAATAACTCCGCCTACTTTAAATGAGGGGATGAATCTGTGAGGCACCTGCCTGCCCACTTTGGACCCAAAGTTTCTGCCTTGAAAATCCCAAGGGCTGTTTTTGTTGTTTGTTTTGTTTTTCAAGAGCTGCTGCCCAGATGGGGCTGGGAAACTACCAGAAGGCAGCCTTCCACCTGCCCAAGGCAGGCCTGCCCCTTCCCAGCTCTATCAGTCATCTTCCTAGTGGCAACCCCCCAGTGACTGTGTCCCCAAACTTTCAGGAGTGCTCCTGCCCTGTCTGTCCATAGACCCTACCCTGTCTCATACCTCAGGCACAGAATCAGCCCTACAGAGAGAAACCAGCAAGAACAGTGACCTTCGTGGGGAAGCCTGAGTGGCAGAGTCTCTGCAGCTTACTCTGACTCTGAATTATGGAACTCCTGGCCACACTCAGTCCCTAATAAGGTTTGTAAGAGGAAGACCCAACCTGAGACCCAAAATGGTATGGCGAAGGGGAATAGGAAGGTCAGGAGGGAGGACTAAAGGCCAACAGATGGACCCACAAATCTGACAGGCACTGAGGTCAACATGGAGGTTACCCAGAGGGATGCTCTGTGGCAAGCAAGAGAGACAGCCCCCACACTGAGCCTGTGAAGGCCCCATGTGGCACCTGAGGGCAGCTGAGGCTCAGGAGGTCAGAAATTGGGCCTAGGGGCCATTGTCCCCATCACTCTTGAGCCACCCAGCCTTTCACAGGCCTACAGCAAGGAATAATGCCCACTAATTTAAGAGGACTTGAGGTCTCAGGCCCTTCCCTGGCACCAAGCATGAGGGCTGTGACTCTCATTACCTACCAGGGCTAAGCAGCAAACTGTCAAGGTTCCAGTGGGTGAGGGGAAACAGGGGCCCTCCATCCCTCCTCCCACCCTGGCATCAACACTGCTGCTCAACAGAGAGCCAGGCTCTGAAACACTCTTCTCCTCAGGAAGGGCAGGTGTCCTGTGGGGAGGGGACAGGGAGACTAATTGGGTCCTCCCAGCCCACTGGCCCCATGGGGCAGCCACTCTAAGCACCCCCTCCCTGCACCTAGATTCTGCCTAGAGGCTTTGGCTTCAGAACAAACACTACTCACTGAGGCTGGCAACCAATGACTGGGGCAGGAGTGGCTGCCTGCCTGGCTAGGCCTCCCCACCCCTGACAGATCAGATCTTATCAAGACTTCAGGGATGGCACTACCTGGACACCATCTCACTGTCATCTGGCTGTCTCCACCCCATCTATGAGATTCTCTCCAGCACTACAGACATTTCCCATCCTCCATGGCCTGGCCCTCCCACCCTCCTACCCTGTGTGATTATCAAGGCCCAGGAGGGAGTGCCCCCATGCAGGTCCCCACAAGGGCCCACAATCTAAAACACTACAGGTCTCATCCAAGGTGGGGAGCAAAGACAGAACAAATATCCAGCAAGGCAGAGAGGAATGGTGGGAGGAGGGGACATCTGAACAGCCCCAGACCCTTAAGCCAGGAAAGTAGGGCTGTGCTACCCACTCAATTGCTGCTACTCTCTTCTCTCCCAGTCCCCAGTCACCTCTCAGTGTGCCAAATTCCCTCCCCCTGCACTTGCTGTTTCCCACTTACAATACTCTTCCTTCCCATGGTCTCACCTGCATTCCACCATTTCATTCACCTCCTCCAAGCAGCCTTCCCTGAGTACCTTGGCTAAAGGGCCCCTGCTAGTTAGCCTCTGTCACAACATCTATTGTCACTATTTCCATCACGCACATCATCATGGGATTTTCTTGTACCTTCATCTGTCCATTTGTTACTTGGCCACAGAGAGGCATCTAGAATGTCAGCTACCTGGCCACCAGGTAGCTATTAACTAGCTCCATCCTAGCCCCTGAAATGGTGCACAGTGCAGACCGGGTGCTCAATATTTGGGGACCGAACAGATAATTCTCTCTAGGATCAGTCCTCCTCATCCTTTCTCCCAACACTGCCAACACATCCATCTGGCCAGACTGGCTCAGTTCCCAGAGGTGTGTCAGCAGCGGGCGGCGGGCTCCCCACTCCTCGGTCCCAGTGGTGACTGTAGGGCAAGCAGACTGTTGTTACTAGAGAACCAGCTGTGCTCAAGACCCACAGTTTGGTTCAAAGCAGCCTCAGGGGAAAGTGTGTTGCTGACACTGTGTTGGAGCCTGGCTGGGCGGCCCCGCCTTGGCTGGGGTTCGGGGGTGAGGTTATGCCCAGTTTTGCTGCCCTGCCTGGTAGGAAAGGACTACGAATAACCAGTGCCCAGGCACAGAGAGGCAAACAACTGAGCACCCATGGACACCCATGGAGGTTGGAGGACAGGAATGGCCCATGGAGCTACATCCCTCTGAAAGGGGCCAGGAACGCTAAGCAAGCTCAGCCCCTGACCGCTGTGCAGGAGCCTGCTAGAGTTTGCTCATCAGACACTTCACCCTGCCACACCCTCTGTCCAAGCACCCTGGCTAACTGCCTGTCCCACCTCTTAGGACAAGCAGGCAGAACAGAGCTCCTGCTCTGCCCACATCACCCAAGTGCCCAGCCCTGGCTCGTGCCCCTTTGCAATGACAGAAAGCATTTAACTGGATCCAAGACCTCGGGGGCCAAGTGGGAGAAGGTGGAAAGGATTTCAGGACCAAGAGAGAAAGGTTCAAGGACAGGAGTCGCTGGCTACGCTGACCACAAGTATAGGCTGTGGTAGAAATTCCATAGGTAGGTGGGGGTGGGCAATGAGGGCCTATTGGGCTAGAGAAAATAGTCTCTTGGAATTTGGAGGAGTTGAGAGAACAAGGGGCCCTGGGGGAGCAGGGAGGAGGCTGGGGGCTGCCAGGGCTGGGTTATGCCCCTTCCGGATGGCAGGCCCAGGAGCACAGGGCCTGGGTTTATCTGATGGGGTATGTGTGGGCACAGGAGAGGTCAGCTCCCGACCTGGGCTTCCCTGGAGAGGAGGGCTGGGGGTGGGCAGGGCGCAGGGAGTTTCAGGGCCCAGGCGCTAGCTTTGCGGGCAGGCCTCTTGAGCCTCCCGACCCTCCAACAGAGTAGGAAGGTTCCAGGGGTTGGAGAGTCCTGAGGTTCGGAAGTGACTGAGAGTACCAGGGATGAGAGTCACCGAGGGTCCGCGGGCACGACGCGGCCTAGGTTCTCCTCCCCACCTTGCTCCCCCCCATTTACCTGGGCGCCGAGCCCCGGGTCGGGAGAGCCTGCTCGGCGAGGCCGCAGGGCAGGCTCATGCCCGCGTCACGGCGGGCCCGGCGGGGGCGGCAGGGTGGCGGCGGGGCAGGGCAGCAGGCGGGGACCTCAAGGGAGACGCGGCCGCCGGCCTCCGACTCCGGCTTGGACTCGGCTGGGTCCCTCCCAGCCGGGTCCGGGCGAGCCACCCTGCCCCGCCCCGCCCCACCGGCACCGCCTCCTGGCACAGATCCCTACCGTATTCCTCCGAGCCGCGGGACACAACATTCCGCGACTGCACCCCCAGGCCCTTCAGTTCGCTTTGGTACTCCTCTCGGCCCCAGCGCCCCTCCCTTGGCCCCAAAGCCTAATCTCACGTCGTCTCTCAGCCCCTAAGAGCTGAACCCCATATCAGCTCCCAGCCCCCAAATCTCACCCCCCCGCCCAACTTCAAGACTCATGGACCCATTGCTCCCCTACCTTCTTCACCACTGCCGGGTCGCCTCCAGCACCCCCACCCCGCATCACCCCAGCCACAGTGACCTCCTCAGGAAGCTGCAATAGCAAAGCGATCTCTCTGCAGCTTCCTCTCCCACCCTCAAAATCCCCAGTTTCCCCGTTCTAGGTCCCCCAAGACTGCCCTTAAGTCCAAATTTCATTCTCTTACCTGGTCCCCATTCCCTCCTCCTTCTCCAACTTCCAACCTACACTCACCTCTGTCCCTCAAGCCTGCGCAGATGCTGCGTGGCTACCCGCTACTCTGTGGGAATTACGAACCACGGGCCTCAGCCTTGCCAGTGGGAGGGGAGAAATTGCCCCTTGTCTCCCCTGGGAAGGAACTGTCCCACCCCCCACCCACCCCCCAACACACACACGTTTTCATGCCTGATCCCTCTTACACAAGGGATTCTTAAGTGTGGCTCCTAGGTGGTCACCATCTTGAAACTTTTTAGAAATGCAAATTCTCTGCCCAACCCAGACCTATGAAATCAGATAAAGGACAGGAGACCTCTCTCAACCAGAAATCTGTTTTAACAGGCTTCTAGCAGACTCCCATGCACACTAGCGATGGAGAACCACTGCTTTAGACCATGAGTACAAACCGAAGCAATAGTCCACACCTGAGCATCCAGTCTTGAGAAACAAAAATGCTTCCAAGTCCAAACACTTCCAGGCATTGCAGAGGGGTAGGCCTGAAGCACGGAGGGAACAAGGACCCCTGCACTCACCCACAGAGTCCATCCTTCTGCTTCTGAGACACCTGGGCCTCACTTCTTCTAAGGGGACTGCTTCCTGACTCCCGAAAATGTTCCTGATGGCCACTGTGGTGCCTGTGACCAGCCTGAGCTGAAGCCCCAGACTGCCAGCGGAAGAATTCCCTGCAGCCATGCTGGCCTGGGCTTAACTCCCCACCTTCCTATGTATCTTTCAAACTTGACCCCGCCTGCTTTGCTTCAAACCACAGCCCATAAAGCTCCCAGCACTTGATCCATCACAGCAAACTGTTTTTCAACAAACACCAGAAACCTCTGGAGGAGTTTTGGCCAACAACAGCAGCAACAACAACAAAAAAAAGAGTTTTCACAACAATTAGACATCTCTACAGTGGACTTTCCCAAACTTCTTTATTCTCCCGTGCTCATGATTTTTGCCCAATTTCTCCATACTGTTAGCATCTACTTTTAAATTTTATTTATTTATTTTTTTGAGACAGAGTCTCACTTTGTTGACCTTGGTAGAGTGCTGTGTCATAGCTCACAGCAACCCCAAACTCTTGGGCTCAAGGGATCCTCTTGCCTCAGCCTCCCTAGTAGCTGGGACTACAGTCGCCAGCCACAACACCTTGCTATTTTTAGAGACAGGAGTCTCACTCTTGCTCAGGCTGTTCTTGAACTTCCGAGCTCAGGCAATCCACCTGCCTCAACCTCCCAGACCATCTATTTTGTTTTTTAATTAAACTTTGAGATATTTTTGGATTCACATGTAGTTGTAAGATGTAATATGGAGAGAGCCTGAATACTCTTTTCCCAGTTTCCTCCAATAGTAACATCTCACAATACTATAGTACAATATCACAACCCAGATACTGACATTGATACAATCAAGATTTGGAAAATTGGCTCGGCGCCTGTGGCTCAAGTGGCTAAGGCGCCAGCCACATACACCTAAGGTGGCAGGTTCAAATCCAGCCCGGGCCTACCAAACAACAATAATGGCTGCAACCAAAAAATATTGGGGTGTAGTGGTGGGCGCCTGTGGTCCCAGCTACTTGGGAGGCTGAGGCAGGAGACTCACTTGAGCCCAGGAGTTGGAGGTTGCTGTGAGCTGTGATGCTGCAGGACTCCACCCAGGGGGATAGCTTGAGGCTCTGTCTCAAAAAAAAAAGATTTGGAAAATTTCCATTACTACAAAAATCCCTCACGTTCTCCTTTGATAGTCATACCTGCTTCCCTGCCACTCCTACTCCTCCTTAACCCCTGATAATCACTCATCTGTTCTGCATTTCTATACATGTGTCTTTTCAAGAATGTTATATCATTGGAATCATAAGTATATCATCTTTGGGAATTGGCTTTCTTGGCAATTCATCCAAGTTGTTGCATCTATCAATAGTTCATTCCTTTTGCTGCTAAGTAGTGTTCTGTGGTGTGGGTATACTATAGTTTGTTTATACTAATACCCACTGAAGAATATCTGGAGGATTTCCACTTTGGGGCTATTGTGAACAATGCTGCTGTGAATATTTGTGTACAGGTTTTTATGTGAATATAAATCTTCATTTCTCGGAGATAAATGACTATGAGAGCAATTTCTGGGTCATACAGTAGTTGTATGTTGAGTTGTTTTTTTTTTTTTAATTTTTTTTTTTTTTTTTGAGATGGAGCCTCAAGCTGTCCCCCTGGGTAGAGTGCTGTGGCATTACAGCTCACAGCAACCTCCAACTCCTGGGCTCAAGCGAGTCTCCTGCCTCCGCCTCCCAAGTAGCTGGGACCACAGGCACCCGCCACAACACTGGCCTATTTTTTGGTTGCAGCCATCATTGTTGTTTGGCGGGTTCGGGCTGGGGATTCGAACTCACCACCTTAGGTGTACATGGCTGGCGCCTTAGCCAGTTGAGCTATAGGCGCCAAGCCATGTTGAGTTGTTTTATAAACCGCCAGACTGTGTTTTAGACTGGTTCTATCATCTTACATGCCCACCAGCAATGTATAAGTGATCTAGATTTTTCACATCCTTGCCAGCATTTGGTGTTATCACTACTTCTTTTTGAGCCATTCTGATGAGTGTGTAGTAATACTTCTTTGTGGTTTTAATTTGCATCTCCTTAATGTCTATCATGTTAAACATCTTTTCGTGTGATAATTTTCTGTGTATCTTCTTCAATAAATTGTTTCTTCATGGTTTTTGCCCATGGTCTGATTATTTGCATTTTTATTGTTGAATTTTGAGAGTTCTTTATATATTAAAAGACATGTGGTTTGCATAAGGTGACCAGATTTTAACATTGGTAAAGAAGGACACCATTGACGGGGGTGGGGGTGGGGTGGGGTGTTATTAGCTGACCTGTTTATGGTTAGGGACCCTCTAGAGAAGGGGGGGCTACTTGTTTGTTCCAGACATTTTGGCTCCTTCTGAGGTAATTGTCCTTGCCTAGAAGCAAGGGAGGGAGCCAGTATCCTTCTGATACCTATTCTACCTGGGCAACCTTGCCCAGGAGGGGAGTTGGGAGTTTACATTAGCCTTTTCATTTCCAAATGAAGTTACATTAACCTCTTCATTCCCAAATGGAGTTACATTAACCTTTTCAGCAGCCGCCTATATTCCCTTCCTGTTGTCTCCCCCTTCCCTACCTTATGCATTCTTTCCAAAAATCAGGACTTTTTAAAAATGCCATGGGACGCAGGACAAATTGTTAAAAATCAGGACTGTCCCGCCAAAAGCGGGATGTCTGGTCACCTTAGGTTTGCATAACTTTTTTTTTTTTGCAGTTTTTTGGCTGGAGCTGGGTTTGAACCTGCCACCTCTGGCATATGGGGCCAGCATCCTACTCCTTTGAGCCACAGGCGCCGCCCCCTGTCTGTAGCTTTTTAATTTATTTTTCTTTTTTCTCTTCTTTTCTTTTCTCTCTCTCTTTCTTCTTCCTTCCTTTCTGACAGACTCTCACTCTATTGCCCTGGGTAGAATGCCATGGTATCATCGTAGCTCACAGGAACCTCAAACTTTAAGGCTTGAGCAATCCTCTTGCCTCAGCCTCCAGAGTAGCTGGAGTATAGGCCTGTGCCACTACACCTGGCTGGGTTTTTTTTTAATTTAATTAATTAATTAATTTTATTATTTTTTTTTTTAGTAGAGACAGGATCTCACTCTTGCTCAGGCTGGTCTCAACTCCTGAGCTCAAGCAATCCACCTGCCTCAGCCTCCTTAGAGGGCTAGGATTACAGGCATGAGCCTTGGTGCCCAGCTTATAGCTTTTCTTTTAATCTACTTAACAGGGTCTTTTGCAAAGCAAATGTTTTTATTTTTATTTTTCTATTTACTTTATTTATTCATTTTTATTGTCTCAGATTAATTTGAGGGTACAAAGAATTAGATCACAATGTTTGCATTTGTTAGGTAGAGTCCCTCTTATCATTGTGTCTGGCCCCTAAGAGGTGTGCCCCATATTAAGGGGGAGCACCCCAACCCCCTTCCTCTCCTCTCTCCCTGCTGGCTCACTCCCCCACCCCCAACTTTGAATTGATTTGAGTTTTTCTTTTATGTGGGCCTAGATTGTCCACCAGCTTCATATTCGTATTGAGTACGTTGGATTCTTGCGTCTCCATTCTTATGATACTTTACTAAGCAGAATGTGCTTCAACTCCATCCAGGTTAATGCTAAAGATGTAAAGTCTCCATCTTTTTTAACGGCCGAATTCTATGGTATACATATATCAGACTTTGTTAATCCATTCCTGGGTTGGTGGGCATTTCGATTGTTTCCATCTTTTGGAGATTGTAAATTGAGCAAATGTACAAATGTCCTCATGATAAAATGATTTTTTTGTTGTTGTTGTTCTGGGTAGATGCCTAGTAGTGGGATTGCGGGATCAAATGGGAGGTCTAATTTGAGTTCCTTGATGATTCTCCATACTTCCTTCCAAAGAGGTTGTAGCAAATGTTTTTAATTTTGTTTAAGT